CTGATAATTTTATAGCACAGAACACTGCCTTGGGCTGGATCCTCTCTGGCACAGTAAATTCTGAAGCAAAGGACAGTTCAAATAGGATAAACGTCATGCATGCTCAGGTAAACGAAGATGAACTTTTAAGAAAGTTTTGGGAAATTGAAGAGGTCATTAATTCTAAGAAAACACTTACACCAGAAGAAAAAAAATGCGACGAGCTTTATAGTACGACAACAAAGAGAGATAGCAATGGAAGGTATTTAGTCAAATTACCGTTTAGGGACGCAGATCCTCCTTGTAAAGCAGGACATTCACGTACTATAGCGGAAAAAAGATTCAAGGCATTAGAGAAAAGACTAAGTAATAACATACAATTAAAAAATAGTTACACCGAAGTTATAGAAGAATATTTAAAGTTAGGACATATGAGACCAGTAAAGAAACAGGACAAAAATAAAGAAATAGCTGTCTACTTACCTCATCACGCTGTTGTGCGGGATGACAAAAGCACCACAAAGGTTCGCGTGGTTTTTAATGCATCTGAAAAGAACAGCAACGGAATCTCACTGAATGACACGCTGATGGTAGGACCTACACTGCAGTCCGATTTAAGACACACTGTTTTAAGATGGAGAGTTCATGAAATAGCTCTTGTAGCGGACATAATCAAAATGTACCGTCAAGTCAGGATAGCCGAAGAAGACGCAATATTTCAGCGCATACTCTGGCGAAACAGTCGTAAAGAGGACATTACTGATTATGAGCTCCTGACAGTTACCTTTGGTACCGCATCTGCACCATATCAGGCAGTTAGGACCCTGCATCAGGTTGCTTATGATGAAGGTGAGAACTTCCCGTTAGCTAAGGATAAAGTCCTCAATAGTTTCTACATGGACGATTTGATGACAGGTTGTCATAGCGTAGAAGCAGGAATCGAAATATACAAGCAAATGACGGAATTGTTAAGAAAAGGTGGTTTTCAACTACAAAAGTGGAATAGCAACAGTGAGGAAATAGTAGATAAGATAAGATCAATAGAAAATATTAATAAAGGACAAGATCAAACCAGAATAAAAGAAACTATTAATCAGGACAAAAACGACACACTAGAATACAGTAAGGGCAATAAAATGGAGAACAAAGAAGAAAAAGCGTTAGAAATAAAAATAGATAGTACAATTAAAATATTAGGTCTTACCTGGAACCGCAGCACAGACTCCTTTCAGTACTCAGTGAATCTCCCGCCTTCGATGATAGCACCTATAACTAAGAGATCAGTTATCTCAGATATAGCTCGACTATTTGACCCACTAGGTTGGTTAGCTCCTAGTGTGGTCTTAGCTAAAGTATTTATCCAAAAATTATGGCTAGCAGGTGTAAGTTGGGACGAGGAGTTAAACGAAGAGTTAAAAAAGGAATGGAGTACTTATCGGGAGGAACTGTCGTTACTTAGCGGTGTCCGGATATCTCGATGGCTTGGTACGAAGTTAAAAGATGATCTAGAACTGCACGGTTTTTGTGACTCGTCTAAGACAGCTTACTCGGCCGTGATTTATTTGCGTATCGTAGATGGAGAAGGAAGAGTACACGTGTCCTTACTAGTTGCAAAAACCAGAGTAGCACCCGTGAAGCAAATCAGTATTCCGCGGCTAGAATTATGTGGAGCAGTACTTTTGTCACAACTTCTAGCTGAGACAACTGTAGTCTTAAATATCTCTAACGACAAAGTCCGAGCATGGACCGACTCTACGGTTGTGCTGGCTTGGATTAATAGCCACCCAAGTAGATGGAAGACCTTTGTGGCCAATCGAACGTCTGAAATCTTGACCACCATGAAAGCTTCGCAATGGTTTCATGTCTCGACCAAGAACAACCCAGCTGATTGCGCTTCTAGGGGAATGCTGCCAAGCTTATTTATTAATAATGATTTATGGTTTCAAGGACCATCATTCTTAACCGAAAGTAGCATTAAATATGATAAACCAAATAATTTTAAGGTAGATTTAGAACAGTCCGTAAAAGCTCATGTGTCAGTTATGCCAGATAATTCACTGTTTGAAAGGTATTCGACACTAACTAAACTGATAAGGGTTCTCGCATACTGTCGAAGATTCTTAAAGGAAAACAAACAATTTTATAAGAACTATTTACAAAAGACAGAGTTAGACGCCGCACTTGAATGTTGTATACGATTAACACAGATGGAAGTATTTACAATGGAGTACAAACAATTACACGAAAACAGCTTTATACAAAAGAAATCAAGTGCGCTAAAACCACTCTGCCCCTATCTGGATAACAAGGGCATTATAAGGGTCAGAGGTAGACTCGAAAAATCACAGCTAACCGAACAACGGAAGCATCCTATTATTCTACCTCATTCAAGCCACCTAACTCGTCTTATCATAGCTGATGCCCATTGCAAAACATTGCACGGAGGTCCTCAGCTTATGATTAATTATTTAAGGACAGCCTACTGGATCATAGGTGTACGAAGTCTGGTTAAACAGTATGTTCACAAGTGCGTAACATGTATCAGGCATAGAGCCAGTATCAAAAATCAAATGATGGGTTCACTTCCAGCTGTTCGTTGTACTCCTGCAAGACCGTTTTTGAACAGCGGAGTAGATTATGCCGGTCCCATAAATATAAGGGCAAGTAAGGGTCGTGGCCACCGTTCATATAAAGGCTACATATGTCTCTTTGTATGTATGGCCACCCGTGCCTTGCATCTTGAAGTGGTCAGTGATATGAGTTCTCAAGCCTTCTTGGCAGCCTTTAGGAGATTTGTATCTCGGCGAGGTCACTGCGCCCATTTATATAGTGATAACGGTACCACGTTTGTGGGTGCCAATAGAGAGCTGGTGCAATTGGCGGCAGTTCAGCCATCAATAGCCGAACATCTGGCAGCTACTGGAACCGAATGGCACTTCATACCTCCTCACAGTCCCAACTTCGGCGGATTATGGGAGGCAGGCGTAAAATCAACGAAGTTCCATTTGAGAAGGGTCATCGGTGACGCTACTCTCACGTATGAGGAGATCTCCACGCTCCTTAATCAAGTCGAAGCATGTCTAAATTCCAGACCTATGAGTGTTATTGATGTTACAGACCCTGGTGAACCGTTACCTTTAACACCTGGACATTTCCTAATCGGAGAGCCGTTAGTAAATGTACCAGATAACCAATATGAAAGTTCAGGAGTAAGTCATTTATCACGTTGGCAATTAGTTCAAAAGATGTTACAGTCATTTTGGAAACGTTGGTCCCAAGAGTATCTTTGTAATTTAATGAGTCGCTACAAATGGTCTTCTCAAGTGCCCGAACCTAAAATTGGCGATATTGTGTTAATAAAAGAAGATGATTTGCCGCCGACTCGTTGGTTGATGGGTCGCATAGTAGAGAAACACCCTGGTGATGATGGTATCACCCGAGTAGTCACTGTGCGCACTCAGTCCTCAACTTTTAAAAGGCCAACATCTAAGATATGCATTTTGCCAGTTGTTGCATAGGACTTTTTTTGTTTTCTATATTTAATTCACTATTAGACGATAGGCCAGATCAAATTATGTTAAAAAAGGAATAAATTATATTTACATCTTATTTTAAATAAAACCCGTACTTACACCTGTTAAATTCCTTAGCTTTATGCTCGTATTGTGTAATGTGCTACATGAATACATTTGATATCTGTGTACGATCAATCAAATCATGTTTATCTATAAGTTAGAATAAGTTTCAGTCATTTTTGTTTATAACATAAAATTATAGTTTATTTGTTAAGATTTTAGAGCAGATTGTATTTTTTTTTTATTCAGTTCAACATGTTTTTGAGGCACCTCTATTGTAATGTTTAGATTAATTTAAGAAGGACATTCCGTCAGTAACGTCCTTGGTGGGCGGTATGTTCGAGATCATCAGCAACATAGTGCGATCAAACTCATAAGTTTGATATTATTAGTTCACTTTTTGTTCCCTAGATGGAGCTGTTATAAAACTTAGATCGCGCTATGGTTGTGTGACACACGTTAGTGTATAAGGCCTACAAAAATTGTGTATGATAGATCAAGACTGGTGTTTAGTTCAGGGCGATTGCCAATTAAACCGTGGAGTCCTACGAACTCATAATACAGTGCACAGTGGTTTTATTAAAATCCCTACTAGTCACTCACCCAGTCCAACGATACCACGCTTGGTATCAAACAGTTTGTAATATTAAAATAACCGCTTTTTACTAAATGCATATGTATGTATACATGGTACTTATGCCAAAATAATATTTTTTACAATTTTTGTCTGTCTGTCTGTCTGTTTGTTCCGGGTAATCTCTGGAACGGCTTTATCGATTTCGACGGGACTTTCACTGGCAGATAGCTGATGATATAAGGAGTAACTAAGGCTACTTTTTTTAGAATAGCTTCGCCCCGCGGCGTTGCCCGCGGTTACAACAACAAACGCGGGTAACACCGCGGGGCTCAGCTAGTATATGAGAAATTTCCTAGCATGTTTGAGAAAATTAAGTACTTAATTTTCAGTGATCATATGAGTTTACATAGGAGATAAATGGTAATAGACAAACACAACCTCATATGGAGGTTGTGTTTGTCTATTACCATTTATCTCGGAAACTACAGGATGGATTTCGATGCGGTTTTTTTGTTAGAGAGCTGGTGTTGTCACGATTCATATATATGTATAATCAAGTGACTAAGCGTAGCGATGTGGAAAGAAATTATCTCCGGGATTTTAATTTTTTAAATTTATTACTTGTTACAGAAAGGAATTAAAGAAAATTGAACAAACAAAAAGGTCGGGTTGCGGTGCTGATGATATTTATAAGCCCACGTCCTTGACATTTCATTTATTGAAGTTTCTAGCAAATATTGAAAAACTAAAGCTGACGAAGGTAGTTCTTGATACCCAGATTCTTGATTATCGATACAGTTTCGAATTGTCAAATTACATAAAACACACCATTTTTTTTCAAAAAGTAGTTTATTACTAAAAAAAAGTGTTTAGATCAATTTTGAAACCAGCATTCTGCCATTGGCTTGTCGTTCTGCATTTCTTACGTTCTGGAGACGTGCCGTGTCGATGAAATACTGGCGAAACTGATCTCTGACTGCTTTTGCGTCTGAAGAAGCATTTCGGTTCAAACATGCCTCGATGTTACCCAATGTATCCTCATCATTATCTGTCGAACGAATGTATTTACTCTCTTTATGTCTGAGTAGAAAATTATGTAAGTAGCAAATGGCAGTGGTCACAATTGTCGCTTTTTGTGGTTCCAAGTACATTGCCGTATGCAGTACACGAAATTTGGTAGCTATTAAACCAAAAGCACATTCAACAACTTGTCGAGCGGACGATAATCGCTTATTAAAAATTTGTTCTTCAGCATTACTTGTTTTTTGAGGATATGGTTTCATTAGATTTGTACCAAGAGCGAAGGCTTCGTCACCTAAAAACACATACGGCAAAATCGCAGTGGTATTAGGTAACCTACATGGTTCTGGCAACTTTAACTTGCATTGTTCATGGAGTTCCCAAAATTTGGTGTAGAACAAAACTCCACCATCGGATGTTCTTCCGTTAGTTCCGACATCAATCATGATAAACTCCTTCCTTGCATTAACTAAAGCCATAAGCACTATGCTATAATAGCCTTTATAATTGTAATATGAAGGACCTGAATTTTCAGGTTTATTTATTTCAATGTGTTTTCCGTCTAAACATCCAATACATCGGGAAATTGTAAAGGCTTCCAAATTCATTTGCTATATCAATCCAATCTTCAGTATTGGTCGGCATCTAAAAAATAACAGTTTTTTAATATTTACAGAATGATGATTCATCTGAAGTAAGAAATGAAGAGAACAATTCTTTGATCATTTCATCTATCACAAATGAAAGTCGACCGGTGAAAATAAGAAAGACTTCAGGGACGCTAGCAAAACAGAATGAGTTGCTTGAACGAGCCTGCACACTGCTGGTTCAGCCTTCGAAAATCAGTCTACTATATCTTCACAACAAGACGTTAATCCGGTTTCTCTAGTATGGTCTGAGAAATTGAAGAATTTAAACCCAACTCAGAGGTTATATGCAGAAAAAGCCATAAATGATGTTCTGTTTGAAGCCCAACTTAATAACTTACATAGAAATTCCGTTCAAATTAATACCTTCGCAACGCAATCATCACCAGCCACGTCTACGCCTAATCCATACACACCTTCACCTGTATCAAATGTACCAGAACAAAAAATTCAAATCGAATCATATTCAACATCAAGCATGCTTTCACCTTCCCCACCTGTCTCAGTCTCACATGTACCAGAAAACTTGATACATGATGAACCCGAAACACGTTCTTTAACTGCCACATCTACGACTTACCCACCTGTCTTACATATACCAGACAATTCAAATATACCTCTTACATCCATATATCAAAAACGAAAAGTGCCATCATCAGCATCAAGTGTACAATTACAAACAGGGCCGGCTTCTCAAATAATTCTCCGACCTTACTCTGAAGACAGCTGTGATGATTATAAAATGGGATCATTTTTTGCCACATACAAACCATGACAGCCATTGGGATTGTTTGTTTCAATAATAAATGATATGATTTTTTTTTCTTACCTTTATATAGTCTCTGAGAACATACATCATTGCTCTGCACGTGGAAATGACGGCTTTACTTATAACAGCTTCAGAGATAATACAGGACGTTTTTAAGCATCTGAAGCTTCTTCCAGTTGCGATGTACCGCAATGTTACGGCAAGTTTTTCTCTCGGGGATATAGCTTGTCTCATATGTGTATCTTGTTTAGTAATATAAGGTGAAGCCAAGTTTAAAAGCTTCTCAAACAAGTCTTCACTCATTCTAAAATAAATAGCGTAATCATTCAAATCGTCGCCCAAGAGCATTTCTTGTGTGATGTTCAAATGAGTGTATTGGTTTCGTTTTAAAACCCAATTTTTCACCCAACGCTTTCTGCAACGTTTTCTTTTCAACGCAAATGCGAGTACTACTGCTAAAACTGACTTTCTCCTATTATCCATGATTTCAGAAACACAACCAGATTCCAGTAAATACAACGCACTACTGAAGTGGTAATATTGATAAGTGTAATAGCCCACTTCAGTATTTGCGGTCTTGTGATAATATCGAGATTCCAGTATCACGATATTATTGACTGTGTAATATACCCCAATGAGTATCGGAGAGAAATGGTTACTTTGCACCTTCCGTTCCGTCATGAAGATTCAGAAAATCTTGCAGAATCGCGATATCTTTAGTTATACGAAAAAAAATGAGGCACTTATTGTAGATCGAAGAAAAGAGTTCGAATCTAATCTTGACATCGAAAAAACATTGGAAATCTGCAGTGAGTTATGTCGTGAATATGTTTCCGATGATGGAGAGGAGATAAACGACGTTGTTGGTAGAATTCCTAATGAAAACCCTTTTGCTGAATTATATCACAATCCAAAATGATGATTTACGCCTTGCGTTGTTTGATAAGCTTGGATCAATTGCTAAAAAGAAGAACCTTAACCAGAATTTTATGGGCTTATGCGCAAAGCAAACAAGGAACAGCGAGAAATTTTGTTTCACACTATACAGTAGGCGCGCGAGTTCATGTCCATCGGGGCCTCAGGTGAGGTGGCGCGCCCCGCCTTCACCCACCTCGCCGCATTCGAGTGTTGTCCTTGACGGTGATGCGCGCTTGTCGATAGCGATACTAAAAACTATTAATTTTGTTGAGATTGGTCATCTCTCAATAGTATACAAACTCTATGGTGCACTGAGAAACCTCTGTAATGAAATTGACTAGTGTCATTCTGTTTGAAATCTGTCTTGTCTTGTGAAAAATACACTGGACAGCAAATAAACCGAGCCACCCGCTACCTAGGCACTCTAATTCGATTTTCTCAAAAACTAAAAAACCTACAATAAATAAAACAAACTCTCAAAAACTAAAAAACCTAAACAACAAAGTTGTACCTACAGAAAGTGCGTTTTCATGGTGATTAAAATGAAAGAAAACTCATTGGGTTTAATCAATATTTCAGTGTTTATTAAGGATTTTACAAAGAAGAGTCGTTTTCCAGTCGTGACAATCGTTAGTAAAGATAAAGTGAAAAAAAAAAATTAAAGCCAAAAACAAAGATAAAATAAAATAAAAGTTTTTGATTAATATTCCGTATTCCCTCCCCTTGCTCGGATAACTGCCAGCATCCTTGTATTCATCGACCTTACGAGCCTGACGATAAAATCTTGAGGAATTGTATTCCACTCCTCTTCAATTGCGATTCGCAGCTCTGGAAGCCTTGTTGGAGCAGGTACCCGGGCTCGAACCCGACGTTTCAGCTCATCCCATAAGTGTTCTATCGGATTCAAGTCCGGGCTTCGAGCTGGCCAGTCCATCGTACGAATGCTGACGTCGCGTAGATACTGGGTCACCACATGAGCAACATGAGGCCGTGCATTATCATGCATCAATTGCATATCCTGTCCGATATATCCTGCGTAAGGTACCACATGGTCTGCGAGGATTTCTGTAATGTAGCGATGAGAAGTCAGTCCACGTGTACGGCCCGTCGGTTCGATGAAAACTAACGCTGTATGTGCTGTTAACGAGATGCCGCCCCAGACCATTACAGATCCTCCTCCATAAGCAACAATTTCCTCGATGCAACACTGAGAATAACGTTCTCCAGGGCGACGATATACTCTCTGACGTCGATCACTTCCATGTAGACTCACCCTGGTCTCATCAGTGAAGAGTACATTACTCCACTGGTCTAATGTCCAATCCCTATGCTCTCGAGCAAATTCAAGTCGTGCTCGACGGTGTGCTACCGTTAATGCTGGGCCTGTTGCAGCTCTTTTTGGGGTCAGGTTCCGTTCAGCAAGTCTCCTTCTGACGGTATCTGAACTTATGACCACTTGGCGTTCGTCACGCAGAGTTTGTTGGACTTGAACTGCGTTGAGGTGGCGATTTCGCAGAACAGTAAGGTTTTGGGTCGCGGGCAGGTGGCAGCACTTGTTTTCAATGGGAACGAATGGATTGACACAACCATATATAATGTGTTATTCGTTCCTGAACTAAAGACGAATTTATTTTCGGTGAATCGAGCAGCCGATAGAGGTTATGTGATTGTAACAAATGATAGTGTGTGCAAATTCTACAAAGACAATAAAGTTTATGCTATTGCAAAAAGGATTGAGAATTCGTACTACATGGATTTTCAATACAAATACGAATCGGCAACGATTGCAAATGTAATGCAATATGATTTAAATGAGTGGCATCAAAAATTAGCCCACCAATACTTTGATCATGTCAAAAAAGTTCTGCAGATAAATAACATCAGTGCCAAACAAACATCAGTAACAAAGTGTGAGAGCTGTTTAATGGGGAAGATACATCGTTTACATTTCCCAAGAAGCGAATCTAAGACTAATAAGGTGAGTGAGTTAATACATGCAGACACGTGTGGCCCGATGGAGGAGCTCTCTGTCGGAGGTTCGCGGTATTTAGTGGTGCTAAAATATGATTATTCGAACTATAGATCGGTTTATTTTATAAAAGCGAAGCATGAGGTAAAGAATTGTTTGTAGGATTACATAGCGAGAACACATAATGAAACGGGAAAAAAATAAAAGTTTTTCGGTCTGACAATGGCCTTGAATTTGTCAACAAAGAGGTTAAAGAACTATTCTCAAAGCATGGTATAGTACACCAAACTACTGTACCATACACACTAAAAGGGAAAACAAAACAAATAAACAAGCAAAACGGGAAAACAGGACTTTGGTGGCAGCGGCAAGAACTTTATTGCATGCGAATAAATCAAAAACATTTTTATTTCTCAAAAAATAATTTCTTTAACCAAACTTGCTGAAAGTACTCCTTTTCGTGTCCCAAACAACAAAAAAATTTTTTAGATTGAAATATTAAAAAGTGTTTAAAAGATTTATTTTTTTTGTTCCGAAACACGTTGTTTTCAAAGTTACATTTTACTACTTACAATCATCGTAGAGAGGTCATACAGGGCTCATTTTTTTCGTTTTGACGTCTACTTTTTAATGAAATAATAAAACAATACAGCTTCCATTTAAAAACATGTCTAAAAATTGAAAAAAAATTTTTTGGTTATTGTTAATAATTTGTTATAAATAAAAAATAAATAAAAAACTAATAAGACCATCGAATTGTACGGGAATAAACACGAAGAAACATATGTTTTCCTATTTAAATACATTTGTTTATTTTTGTACAATACTGCTATAAACATTGTAATAGCATATTCCGTGTAGTTGAAAGATGTCAGGTAACTACATACAATGCGATCGACTTTAACTTTAATAAGAAAAGTTCCTCATTTCTCGCGATGAAATGAATTAATTCAATTGTTGCTCTTCTGCATTGTTTTACTGGATGTGATACAACATCCGCTTTTGCTGGCAAAGGAAAAAAACAACAAGTTTTAATTCGTTGATTAATACTCCTGAGTTAAAAGAATTAGCACTGCCCTTTTATCAAAGTAATGCAGATCCCAAAGTCATTGCTCGAAATGGTTGTAAACTGATTGCATCGATTTATCAATCGAAAAAATCTAAAATACCACTGGATGATTTAAGATTTACACAGTTTAAATTATTAACTGCAAAGTCGACTTTTAAATTCGAAAAATTACCCCCTTCTGTTGGAGCAGCAATTCAACACTCGTACAGAGTATACTTCCAACTACAAATGTGGCTTGGACATACATTAAATGCAACGAAATGGGGCTGGAAACAAGTGATGTAAATAATACAAAAATACTTATGCCACATTATACAGATGACTCACTTAATCCAGATGAGTTACTTAAGATAATTTGTTGCAGTTGTGAGACTGGATGTGAGGGCAATAGATGCGGTTGCAGAAAGGATGGGTTGCGATGCACAGAGTTATGCACATAATGCCATGGTTCTGAAAGTTGTTCAAACGTTGAAAAAGTTTCAAAAGATTTAAGTGATTTTGATGAAATTTCTGATAATCCTGATGAAATTTAACAACCAAGTATTATCTTCAACTCAGAAAATCTGGCTATGGAAAAGTTTCCAGAGGAATTTGATGAAGAAACGATTGAAGATAATGAGGAAGTCACATATTTCGACGAACAATTAATCGATGATGATCAGCCAAACTTACAATTAGCGAAAAGACAAAAATTGGTTTAGTGTGCATAATGTATTCATTATTAAATATGTAATAAATCGCATAATAAATGTATAATATGTATGTATATAAAGTGTAAATGTATGATATTTATCAGTACTTGAGCATATTTCATTAAAAAATCAACTTGATTAAAATTGAGTTTTTCATTATTTTCATTTACCTCCTTTATTTTTTTATTATTATGTCATTTTATACCTTGTCTGGTCTCCCTTTTATTTTAAAGGGGTAACAAAATCTAACACACGGGCCTTAGCCAAGTGTGCCAAAAAGGGATGATGATATGAAGTTAAGATGATGAGGATGAAGCGAGGAATTCGCGTGTGAGACGGCATGTATTAAGAAGGACTGCTTTTTGTAAGAGTATGAGAGAGGATTTCGGCATTTCCAATGTGTTGAGGCTATCTTGAAGAGTCTTCGGTACTACACCAGTTGTAGATATGACAATGGGTACTATTTTAACTCTATCTACGTGCCATTGCCTTTTTATTTCCGTTGCTAAGTCTGTGTATTTTGTCATCTTTTCTGTGTGCGACGTGAGGAGATTGTGTGTGTTACATACTGCTATGTCTATAATAAAAACTATTTTGTTAGTTTTGTCCAGTATTGTTATATCCGGTCTATTATAATGTATGGTTTTGTCGGTAATTATTGTCCTATCCCAATATATTTTAAATGTATTATTTTCTAGAACTGTACTGGGTTTATATTTATAATAAGCAGTTTTATTTGAAATAAATGAGTATTTGTGAGCAAGATTTTGATGGATTATTGCTGCAACTTGGTCATGTCTGTGTTTATAATCAGTTTGTACAATAGATTTACAAGAACCAGTGATGTGTTGGATGGTTTCGGAACTGCTATGGCATCGTCTACATAAGTCGGTGGGAAGGTTAGGGGTACGGATTATGTGTTTTTTATAGTAAAGAGTATCGATAACCTGATCCTGAATAGCGATCACAAAAGCCTCGGTTTCTGGGAAGAGTTCTCCGCGCCGCAGCCACTTGTTCGACGCTTTTCTATCGACGTGTGTTTGGCTGAGATCGGCGAGATGTCTGCCGTGTAGAGACTTTTGTGCCCATAAGTCTATTTTCTGCTGTTTGCTTAATAATTTTGGTTGAATGTTTGTGTCGTTTAAGTTGAGCGGAGTTAATTTTTTGTCTATATAGGTTAAAAATTTATAAAGATGGGATTGTCCGGCTTTGGCGTAGAAATATTTGTATTATTAGTAGTAGTAGTATTGTTAACAATCTATTTTGTTGATATAAATTTCAATTATAAATTCGATGCAAATTAAATTAGATTCAGAATTCATTTTAAAATAATCATTCAATTATTTAAAAGCATGTTTTAAATAATTGTATACAAAAGTTAATTATAAGACGATTTATTTATCAAATTATGTAGAAAATAATTGAATTAATTAATTTCATCGCGAGAGATGAGGAACTTTTCTTATTAAAGTAAAAGTCGATCGCATTGTATGTACTTACCTGACATCTTTCAACTACATGGAATATGCTATTACAATGTTTACAGCAGTACAAAAATAAAAAATGTATTTAAATAGGAAAACATATGTTTCTTCGTGTTTTTTCCCGTACAATTCAATGGTCTTATAAGTTTTTGTTTTTTTTTTTATTTATAACAAATTATTAACAATAACCAAAAAAATCGTTTTTGCAAATTTTTTTTTTATATTTTTCAATTTTTAGACATGTTTTTAAATGGAAGCTGTATTGTTTTATTATTTCATTAAAAAGTAAAACGAAAAAAATAAGCCCTGTATGACCTCTCTACGATGATTGTAAGTAGTAAAATGTAACTTTGAAAACAACGTGTTTCGGGACCGAAAAAAATGAATCTTTCAAACAGTTTTTAATATTTCAATCTAAATTTTTTTTTTGTTGTTTGGGACACAAAAAGCAGTACTTTCAGCAAGTTTGGTTAAAAAAAAATATTTTTGAGAAATTGACAAGTAAAAAACAAAAAACAAATTTTTTTTTGATATTTTGCATTTTTTATGAAATTTTAAGGTTATATTAAAAAATGATCCACACAAAAGTTGTAGATTTTTCCAAGATCTACAACTTTTGTATTTAACATTTTTCAGTAGGACATCAAATTTTGCGTGAAATTGCAAAAAACACGAGATGTATCCATTTTCAACCCTTTTCAACCCCTAAAATCATCCCCTAACTTTCTTGGGCACGTAACACATTTTCCTTATGTTGACTTTAACCCTTTTAACCATTTGAAAACGTATGTATCTGGATAAAATTTTTCTTTTTTTATCTCTGTAAATGAGTCAATGTGCCTGGACTAAAGACTGTATTGATTTCAATGAATGTTATTCACCTGTAGCTAAATTATCAGCATTTAGAGTTTTCATGGTAGTTGCAATAAAATTAAATCTACCTGTTTATCAAATGGATGTAACTGGAGCATTTTTGTATGGGGAAGTAGATGGGGATGTTTACATTAGTTTACCAAAAAATGTTGGAACATGAAATTTAATTCTGTGATAACAAAGGAGGGCTTTGTGAGGGCAAATGGGGATTCATATCTTTATGTAAGAAAAACTGATGTGATAATACCTTTGTTCTATTATATGTGGATGATTTGTTGATTTTTGAAACTAATAAAGAGTTATATTTTAAAATTTAAAAAGGTGTTAAATGAACAATTTAAAATAAAAGATTTGGGATTAATTTCAGAGTTCTTGGGCATAAATGTAAACCAAACTTTAGAAAGTGGTGTTACTAAGTTAGATCAAAGCAAGTATTTAAAAAAGGTACTTAAAAGTTACAATATGGATAACTGTAAGTCCATGTCAACACCAATGGATATAAATCTAAATACAGAAATGTTTTCTGGCAAAGGTGTACTTGATAAAGATACTGAGAAGCTGTGTAGGAAAATTAAAGGGAGCCTAATGATCAGGATCAGGACCTAGGAGAAGAATCGGGTAGTGATAGTTCGGAAAATATTCCACTATCGCAGTTAGTGACAACTAACTATTACTACGGCAAAAATAGGTATAAATGGGCCAAAACGCCGCCTTCGGCTAGGGTACGTACCCCAAAACATAATATTATATCTCTTACAGAACATAATATCTCGTACAGGTTTATGCAAATTGACTCCTGACGATGGTAAAGATCACTACAGTATTTGGAATAAGCTTTTCGATGAAAAAATGCTCCAGTGCGTTTTAACTTGGACCAATGTTGGAATTTCTAGTTACAGAACCAAGTTTATCCGTTATAACAGGCCTGAATTGAATGATTTGGACATGGTTGAACTCAAAGCCTTTATTGGTCTATTGTTTTACCCAGCTGTTTTGAAATCAAATCATGAAAACACGAGTACTTGTTCGCTTAAGATGGCACAGGTTGTGAGATATTTAGGTGCGGAATGTCAGAGACAAGATTTCTGGTTTTGTTATTGTGTGTACGATTTGACAACCCAGATCGTGAAGAGAGGATAAAGACTGATAAGCCGTCTACACACGCGCGCGGGAAGTCGCGAAGCACCTGCGTAACATAAGTGTAGATCCGATTCACATATTCTTCGCGGCTTCGCGGCTCGTTCGCGCTGTGTTCCCCGAAAATTGTCGGTTTTTTGTCCTGCGACAAAGGGCTCGCAGGCGCGAAGCGCGACGCGAACATGACAAGACTACATTCGCTCAGTAGCAATTGAAACGGACGGTTGTGTTTTCATTTTTTAATAAAGACTACAATGTTGCGTGCAAAATGAGTATCGTCTGGAGCAATGAATTAGAACTATCGTTTATAGAATGTTTTCGTGCTGAGCCGGTATTGTGGGACATTAATTTGAAAGACTATAAAAATAAATTGAAAACCTGGTGGGTTGCTTGAATGCGGATAAGTACGGTGATGGAAATACCAATTGATGATTTGAAAAAGAAAAAAGATTATCTTATGTCAAGCTATATAACTTTTCCCTTGTAGCTCACAAGGAAAAAGTTAAGAAGTCCGTACAATCGGGAGTTCGTGCCGATGAGATATATCAGCCTATTTGGTTCGCTTACGAAGCAATGGATGCTTTTTTGGGAGATACTCTAAAATGGAAAAAAAAAGTATGAATACGGTAAGTAGGTAACTTTATTTTTTATTAGTTAGGTACTTAAATATTACTTAAATATTTTGTGAGTTCGTTTCTTGTTTTTGTGGCGTTATTTGCTGATCGCCGAGGTACTCTTCTCAAGTTACGAAAAGCTGATGTATTTTCTTGATCTGTCCTCCATGATCCAGGTTGTATAAGTACTCCATCATCATCAAACATATCAATAGATCTGGGTGGTGTATAGATATGTAAAGAAGTAGAACTTCGTCTCAAGAAGTTATGTAGTAGTATACAAGTATATGTTATAAGGCTAGCCTTTTGTGGTTGTAATGGGATTGGTTTTCTAAACACTCTAAATCTGGCCGCCAGTATACCAAAAGTATTTTCTACCACTACCGAGCTGAAGATAATCTTTTGTTGAATTCACGTTTTGCAGATCCCATGTTGTGCTGATCAGGATAGGGCTTCATTAAATGTTCTGACAGTGCAAAGGCTCCATCCCCGAAAAAACCTAGGGCACATCAATATTCGAACCTGGTAAAGGATGTGGTGGTGGTAAATTTAAGCTGTTTGTGCACATCTTGTTCCATAAAAGACTATTTGTAAAAACTCCACCGTCACTTATTCTGCCTTGGCAACCAATGTCAGCAAAAATGAAATTATATTGACTATCAACTAATGCCAGTAATACTATACTGTAGGTTCTTTTATAATTATAGTATACAGAACCAGAATTGAATGGACAGTCGAGAACAATATGTTTGCCGTCAATAGATCCAATCGCTCGAGGAAACTTCCTTACAAACTCCTCTTTCAATACGCAGCCATTCATCTGGACAAGATGGTATCTGCAAAAAAGATAACATATATAAAACCTTCATGTAAAAAACAGTATGTAGGTGCCTAAAAGTATGTGTTTTTTTTAGGAACGTGGGGTGAAGGAGCCTAAAGAAGTAAATCACGAAGCTATTGAAGAGAATGTTGAAGAAATGAATGAAAATCGAAGTCAGTCTATTAACACCCAAAAAGACAGCGACCAGACAATCCGCCAACGCAAAATCTCTTCAGAACTGGTTGACGCAGGAAATGTCGTTAGAGACGCTCTTGCCACCTTCAAATCCTCGCTAAAAAGGAACCCATTACAGCCTATTCAGCAAGACCATGATTGCGATTTATACGGAAAACTATTAGCAAATAAGTTGCGAAAATTATCTGAAAAGAATAGATTGAAGTTGATGCGCGACATTGACGGCATGTATTTACGATGCCAATTTGATGACCCTTTAGTGATGACTCCATCGCCACCTAATTTTAATGAACCAAGACCGGGCACATCATCATCTACGCATTCAGAGCCTACATTTCATTATGGGCAGGCGAATCAAAATACTTATTACCAAAATAGATAAGTATTATCAGCCCCACCTTCTAATATCATTATTCAATCCAACCGGCTACTTCGTACACCAGATTACGAGTATCTAAATCTCCACCTGGTGCCAGAAAATTTGCCTTAACGCTCCATTTTAACTCCCCTGCTGCTTATAAAAGTACGTGCGTAAAATGTTCAACACATGCTTACCACACCCTCATACGTTGTACGAATGGTATCGGAGTGTCGATGCGGAACCCGGATTTTGTGCCGAAACTTTAAACAGGTTAGAAGCAAACCAAAAGAAAGTAATAAAAGTATATTATGCGCCCTTGTAGCCGATGAGATGGCACTAAGGAGACAAAAAATATGGACGGGTAAGCGCTATGAAGGTCTGGTAGACATGGGTTTGGGAAGCGATGATAACAACCAAATGGCTACTCAGGCATACGTCTTAATGTTGGTTGCAATTAATGATAGTTGGAAATTACCACTGGCTTACTTTTTCATTGACACTTTAAAGGCAGACATGAAAGCCAATTTGATTAATATAGCATTAGAAAAATGTGAAAAAATAGGGCTACAGATTCGTTCGGTAACATTTGATGGTTGCAAAAGTAACATTGCAACCATGAAAAAGTTAGGGTGCGAGATAGATAATGCAGAAAATATTAAAACAAATTTTAGACATCCTTGTGCAGATTATAATATTGTTGTATTTCTCAATTCTTCCCTTCCTCTCCAAAATTCTTGAAGCCCGTGTACATAAGCAGCTATCTGATTTTATAGACAAAAACGACTTGTTAAGCCCATATCAATCCGGTTTTAGGCCTGGCTATAGCACTACCACCGCTCTCCTCAAAGTGACTGGCGACATCAGGGTGGCCTTGGAAGACACAAAAGTGGCAGTGCTAGTTCTGGTTGACTTCTCAAATGCTTTTAATACCGTCAGTCACGATATTCTCTTGTCCATCTTCTCCTATCTTATGATCTCGCCCGAAGCGCAGGAATGGTTCTCATCTTATCTTTGGGGCCGCCAGCAGTCTGTTCGTGTTGACGATCTCTCCTCGAGTTGGTGCCATGTCGGCTCTGGTGTCCCTCAAGGCGATATACTTTCCCCTTTGCTTTTTTCTATATTTATAAATCTCCTATCTCTTGAACTTCGAAGTGCGTATCATCTGTATGCTGACGACCGACAGCTGTATTCTCAAGCTGCCGTTGAAGATATAACAACAGCTATCTATAATATTAACATAGACCTTAAAACGATTGATAACTGGTCTGAAAGGTTTGAATTATCGGCTAACCCTACAAAGTGTCTGGCCATACTAATCGGCAGTCACCGTTCGATGAGCAGAGTGAATTTCGAGATGCTTCCTAAAATAATTTTGATTGGTACCGCTATACCTGTTGGTCGAACGGTGAAAGACCTGGGCTTACAACTTGACTACACTCTGAACTGTCGCGATTAAGTTACATACGTTTGCCAGAGGGTGACCGGCATCCTCAGAACACTGTATCGCCTAAAAAACTTTCTCCCCGTGGAAACTAAGACAATGCTGGTGTAGTCTCTGATCTTCCCGTTAATCGACTATGGTGACGTGTGCTATTACGACCTGAATGCAGATCTTCTCAACAAATTAGATCGTCTTCTCAATAACTGCATTCGATTTATCTTTAATCTTCGTAAGTATGACCATGTCTCTAGTTTTCGTTCCCAGCGTAGGTGGTTACCAATTCGTCAACGCAGAAAAATGCGCGCACTCACAACTTTGCATACTATCCTCAATTCCCCATCCCCTCCTACTTAGTTTACTTCACAAATTCAACTATTATGCAAGAACCATAACAGAAACCTTCGTTCTGCTAACAATCTCCCTCCACTTGGTCCTTCTCATACTACCGGGTTTGTTGGTTCTTCGTTCTCTGTTCAGTCTATCCTCCTGTAGAATGCGCTTCCTGTCGAAGTCAGGATGGTTACAAACCGTTACTCCTTCAAGATGAAGGTAAAGGAGCTGTTGCTGAGTGAGTTGGCAGAATCAACGGGCTCTTAATTCATCACCTACAGTTATAATATTTTTATAATTGTATCTATGTGTGTATATGTGTATATGAATGTATATGGGTATATGTGTACGTATGTATATATATGTAAATGTGTTAATCCTGGTATATATCCGCTAGTATGCCCATGTAGACTAGTGGTCTACAAAAACGAAATCCTAAAGTGCCCGTGTAGACTAGCAGTCTACAAAAATAAAAACGGAAAGTGCCCGTGTAGACTAGTAGTCTACAAAAATAAAACCGTAAAGTGCCCGTGTAGACCGGTAGTCTACATGGCTCCTGCCACAGATTAATTAGTATTTGACAGTAATTGTATTGACATAATGCTCTTTAGTAATATTTTTTCTATAGTCTGATATATTATCTATGGTATTAATCTCAGTCGAGCATGCAAACACTAGTAAAAAAAAGAATTATACGTCATAAAACTTCTGTCATTTCATCAGTCTTCGAATCGTTCCGTGCAGTGACTGTGTTGGAATTTCTTTGTGATATTATTTTGTGTGTTGGTGAAATTTAAAGTTTTAATAGGTATGTAAATAACTATCTTGTAGATAAAAACATTTTAGCATGAAACATTGGTTTTTTGGAGAGATGTGAGATGAGAGATGATACATACATTTTGGCGGGCGGGAGATAATACATACATGGAAATTATTGCCTCAATTTTGATAATAATGTACAATAATTTCGTAGTAAATGCTATTTAGAAGTTACTTCAGATAATCATTTATTGGAACTATACAAATAGAATGTAAATTACAAGATTTAAGGCAATAATTTAACTCGTAAAAATCCTTTGTTCTTTGACCTTGTACGCGGTCGCACGCCATTGGTCAGTTGGCGTGGCGTCGTCGTAAGGCTTGTTTCACACTGTACCTGCGGACGGTGCTTCTGACATACAAAAAATACAGAATCTAGTAATTAATTATATTAAAAGCAAGGTATAGTTAAAAATGTATATTGATTTTTTATTGATTAGGTATATTGTTTTATTCTTTCAATCTTGTATTAAACAATAATATACTTTGATTTTATTTAAATTTATTTTGGTCTATTCTGACTTTATCTAAATATTGCAATGTAAAATAGATTTAAAATAACATTCACTTAAAAATATTATTAAGTATAAAATATTTCGTGTTCTTTGTATACAACTACTGTGGCAAACAAGCAATAATATACTTTGATTTTATTTAAATTTATTTTGGTCTTAAACTCTTTTTTTATTTTTTTATTTATTTTTTTTAATTTTTTTTCACCCCACCTCACCTCACCTCACCTGGGCACCTTGCTAGACGGCGACTCTTTGCGTGTGGCAGCGGCTCTCCGGCTGGGCTGTAGGGTGTGTGAACCACATCGGTGCACCTGCGGCAGCATGGTGGAGGCCGATGGTCTTCACGCACTGAGCTGTCGTCGCTGCACAGGTAGATTTTCGCGACACCATGCCCTAAATGACATAGTCCGAAGGGCTCTTATATCAGCTGACGTACCCTGCGTGCTGGAGCCGCCGGGTCTCAGCAGATCTGACGGGAAGAGGCCGGATGGCTTGACTTTGGTGCCGTGGAAAAACGGCAAGTGCTTGGTATGGGACGCTACATGCGTCAGCAATCAATAAATAATAAACATCCATATAATTTTTTTTTATTTATTTATTTTATTTTTTTATTTTTTTTTATTTATTTTTTTCTGATGCGATATTTATTTTTGGTACTTGTGCTTATATTGTTTTTTTTCGCTTCTAGCTTTTCTAAAATGCAGCAATCTAGGAAACCTCGCAGCGCACGCGCATTATTTTTTGCGAAATGGTATGTGGTGGTGTTTTAAATTGTTTATTGAATTTCTGTGACTTTTGTCATCCATTATATATTCTTCTAGTAATAATACTTGACTTAGAAATATTTATTCTCTTATTTCACGTAGAAACTCATAAGGCTATACCAAATCCATTAAACCCTTATCTCATGTTACCTCTTTTTACAAGTCATAAATCTCTGCAAACTAATCTGTAACACCCTTTGGCTTCTTCCTTCCTTTTCATTTACTTAATTTAAAAGGTTATATGTTTGAAATGTCGCTTACATTTCAAACATATAACCTTTTAAATTTAGCGTTTTAATTTAACGTTTATGTTTAGTGTCGAAGATGCAAACGCCGGGGGTAGTGTCGAAGATGCTAACGCCGGGGGGCCTACTCCAGGCACTTCGGGGCATCCTTCGGGGCATCACCAAAGGTATGTTCTATCGATTTTACTTCTTATCTTACTTCTATTTAATGAAATAATTAAATTTATCTAATTCATTTCTTAGTTTGAAGGAGCAGTTGAAAATTGTCAAAAAAGCGAAGGCGGCTGACGCGAGGAATTTAAAAAAAATAGGGCTCGCTCAAAGGAAGACGTTGGCGAACCTCCGAGATCTTAAGCAGGTGGGCAACTTTATGTTGCCGGACGCCCCTACTTCGTAAGTATATTTATTAATCGACAAACGTGTTCAAGGTGGTCAGGCAATCATAACCTTATATCTAATATTTATTTTTAATTACAGGAAAGGAAAAGGAAAGGGTAAGGGAAAGGGGAAGGGAACCACACCCGACCACCGCCAGTGGATACCCTGCCCCTTACTCCCTGGAGTGCCGTCCACCCCTCCCCCAAGAACACCTCAGCCTTGGGAGGTCGTGGAAGACATCATAGAAGGTTCGCCTACGTCTTCCTCCTGCCTTTTTGCAGAGCCTTTACCCGGTAAGACTGTAGATATAATAAGTTTTTTAGTTTTGTTCACACAATACTTTACACTGTACTTTTTTATTTCAGGCTTGAGAAGGCGTCGCAGTACTTCAACTGCTTCTCAAGCGAAGTAAGTCTATATGTATAAATAATGAAGCCTGAAAAATAATGTCTAAAATTAGAAATAATGAACTTTTTTTATTGTCAGCATCCGGCTGAGTCCCTCCACCGGGTTGATGACGATAGTGTCTGCGGAATGTACACCTAGTAAGTACAATTTTAACTAGTTTCCATTTGTGTCCACTCTTATTTATTATTTTCTAAATAATCGAAACTTAAATTTTGGTAAAATGTTTCAGCTTCCAGAATTTCTCAGAGGCCGACGTTGGGTTCGGGCAGGAGCGTCCTGACAGACATGTCCTTCGAGATTGGTGAGTTACACTTTTTAATTACCCCCGACCGAATCATCGTAGGTAGATCAAGTAGGTAAGATCAATAATAAAAAATATTGCAGATGTCAACGTAGAACGTGACCTGGAAACCGAAGCCAATAGCGGGAGTGAAATAGAGGACGAGGATGAGGATCCCGTGGATACTTCGGTCATCATAAACCGGAGACCGGATTTGGCAGTGCTGGGCGAGCCGACTCCAGAAGAGGCCGTCCAGCTCCAAATTATGGACGGCAACGAAGACCAGGCCATTCGGCGTTTGGCTGCGGACGACGATGTCGACGTCCTAAATTTCCAGTGGTCTTCTGACTACAACAACTTCAAGGGGGTGAGAGAAACTTTCACCGGTCCGTCTGGCCCAACTTTCGATCATTCCCATGACTCTATTTTGCAAATTTTCGAGCACATTTGGGATACCAGTGTTATCGACCATATAGTTGCTGAAACCAACAGATACGCGCGGCAACTACAGACTAAAAAAACTGGAGTTCTCGCGTCGAGGATGTCTCGGTGGAAGGATACTACCAGCGACGAGATGTGGCGTTTTTTGAGTGTTTTAATGATCCAGTCGCTGGTAGTAACCAATGTAGAGCGAGAATACTGGTATCCCAAATATAAGCAATTACGAATTGGGGAGATTGGAGACATAATGCCGTTTAACCGGTACTTGTTACTGAAGAGGTGCCTGCATTTTACAGACAATGCTACCTTACCCGAACACCCCTCCAAACTTCAAAAGATTTTGCCCATTGTTAATCATTTGAACAGCAAATTTAGCTCGCTGTACCTTCCCGAGCAAAATGTTGCTATCGATGAGTCGCTTCTTCTATGGAAGGGGCGACTCTCATTTTCTCAAAGAATTTCCACGAAAAGGGCTCGGGAAGGCATTAAAAGCTATGAGCTGTGTGAGTCCCGAACGGGATACTTATGGAAAATGGAGGTGTATTCGGGTAAGGGGCACGTCCATGGTCCGCAAGAAGCGAGTGCGGATGGGGTAGAACCGAGGCAGGAGGTCGAGATAGATGAGCCGGAAAATTCCACCGCTCAAATAGTGTACAATTTATTGAGACCTTTGTTTGGCAGAGGTCACACAGTAGTTATGGACAATTTCTACAATTCTCCTCTTTTGTCCAGACTTTTAAAATATAAATACCATACGGACACAATGGGCACACTCCGTCTTAATAGAGAGTTTGTTCCAGAGGCTTTAAAGGTGAAAACCAAAAAAAATATGAGGCAAGGAGAAGTTTGTTTCAGTTCCACCCGAGACATTTCCATACTTACATATATGGACAAGAACGTGGTGCCAATGATTTCCACATTTCACAAGCCTGAAGTCGGCGGAATAGCAAAGTACGGTTACTACCGCTACAAACCAAAAGTCATTTTAGACTATAACATCGCCATGGGTGGCATTGATCGTAAAGATCAGCTGCTCAGCAGCTACCCCATGGAGAGGTCCAGAAACCTATGTTGGTATAAAAAACTGTTCCGCCGACTTCTGAATGTATCTATTCTCAACGCATCAATCATTTATGGACACGGCCGCAATAGAAAAATCACCACTAGGTCATTCCGCTTGCAACTTCTTGAGCAGATTTTAGAAAAATATGGTAGCTCTCCGACGCACCAACCTTCGCTGCAACCGTCGCTAGCACAAATGCACTTGCCTGTGAAGCTAGTGAAAAAGCAGCGGTGCAAGTTGTGCTACCGGCACAAAATTCAGCGCTCGACAGTGTGGAGTTGTGGCAGCTGCCAAATAAATTTGTGCATTGAGGGGTGCTACACGGAGTTCCACAGAGTGCCAAGTTGCGGTGCTACACAGAGTGCCAAGTTTCATAAATCTCACCCCTTGCCTAATATTGTTCTATTTACGTGCCAAGTTTCATAAATCTCACCCCTTGCCTAATATTGTTCTATTTACGTGCCAAGTTTAATAAATTTCACCTCTTGCCTCATATTGTTCTATTTATGTGCCAAATTTCATGTCTCACCCCTTGCCTAATATTGTTCTATTTACGTGCCAAGTTTAATAAATTTCACCTCTTGCCTCATATTGTTCTATTTATGTGCCAAATTTCATGTCTCACCCCTTGCCTAATATTGTTCTATTTACGTGCCAAGTTTAATAAATCTCACCTCTTGCCTCATATTGTTCTATTTATGTGCCAAATTTCATGTCTCACCCCTTGCCTCATATTGTTCTATTTATGTGCCAAATTTCATGTCTCACCCCTTGCCTAATATTGTTCTATTTACGTGCCAAATTTCATGTCTCACCCCTTGCCTAATATTGTTCTATTTACGTGCCAAGTTTCATAAATCTCACCCCTTGCCTAATATTGTTCTATTTACGTGCCAAGTTTCATAAATCTCACCCCTTGCCTAATATTGTTCTATTTATGTGCCAAATTTTATATCTCACCCCTTGCCTAATATTGTTCTATTTACGTGCCAAGTTTCATAAATCTCACCCCCTTGAGGTTACAAATAAACAAACATACAAGCTAAACTCTTAACAATAAATATCATAATATGATATAAGTGAATAAAGTATTATTACGCAACCAAATATTTTCCGGTATTGTGTGTAGACAGCCTTATGTTGACCGTTATCGGGCATTTCAAACAGTACTTCGTCACGATTTTTGTTTTTTATCAAATTTATGTAATTATAATGTTACATTGTGCAAGTGTGATACCTTTTTGAAAAGGATATTAAATGTATTATAAGGCAATGTTAATGTTATTTTTGTTTTGTTTAGTATGTAGAACAAAAAACATCTGGAAAACTAAGTTATGTTACTGAGAGCATGGGAACTGTTTCAGAAATGTTCATATTATTCAAAAGTGGTGTATGTTATCCCTATTGTTTTTTGATTGTAATAAAAGAATATAAGACTACTTATATAGTTATACCTTATTTATATTCCTAACAATGATATTTGTGTACGATATGCCTTGTTAAGTCTTACATAAATTATGCCGCGTGGCGGCCGATAATGGTAAGGATTTAGAGGCCTGTAAATAAATAAATATGTATGGGAGAGTATATGGTTTTATTTCATAACATATTAACTACTATCTAAACAACATAATTAAACATTAAAAACCATAGGTCATCGCTTTCATTTTTGAACTATGAGCTTCGAAGTGCAACACGAGCTTAAAAAGACGTTATCTCAATTTCAACACAGTGTAACTCAACACCAGAGCCGTAATCTGTAAATAGAAAGATAACATTGTTTAGCTAATTTCATAGGCAACTAAATAAATATAACACTTGACACCCTTTCAATACAAACTTTAGTCACAAGAACCGATTAAGTGGAACACGGCGCGCGCGTCGATAACGCAAAAAACAGTGGGGCACTTTACGGGTGGTCGGTATTTGTGCCGGGGCAATCTAGACGGTCTCGCTCGCGAGTCGCGGGCACTCTGGACGCCGCGGGCGCCATGACAGGGGCATACGAGCGGATATACAATAAATATAATAATATATCATTGCCTGTATACATCTATTCGAAGTACAAATAGTACTGTATAAGAACTCTATCATTTATCCACATAAATGCACCTACCTCACTCTTTCTCTGCATCGCCCAATCGGTCGACTGGCAGAGAATGCCACAGTCCGCCGATGCACACATTTGTGCATAAAGTCATAAATAAATAAATAAAGTTAATGAGAAATACTTTTGAATCAAAAACATATTACACACATCTGATCAAAAACAGATTAAATGGTAATTCGTTACTAAATTACACAATTTACAAGAGGAAAACACCTTACATTTACCAAATAAATTATCTCATAGCCACATATATTTTAAAAATCAAATAATGAACGTCAGATTGGCCACACAGTTATTGAGCAGTGCCTCGAGCACGAAAAATTTTCGAATGCGTATCGTAAACGTATCGAGTCCTCGATACATTAACGGAGTTTTACGATAGGCGGTAGCACGAAGCACTACCGTTAAGGTATCGAGAGCTCGATACGATTAACGACAGACATGACGAAACATAACTACGTCGTGGGTCATCTCGACCCCCAGTTCTCAAAAGAGGTGAAGGACATCATCATGTTCCCCCCTGACACCAACCGGTACGAGAAATTGAAAACTAAATTGGTGCGGAGACGCTCAGCCTCCCAGGAGCACGTGCTGATGCACGAGGAGCTGGGAGACCGAAAGCCATCGCAGTTCCTTCGACACCTGCAAGGGTTAGCAGGACCAACGGTGCCCGAAGACTTTGTGAGTACCATCTGGTGTAGCCGACTCCCCACCAATATCCAGCCCCTTCTGACATCGCAGCCCCACAGCACCCTAGAGGCGGTAGCCGAGCTGGCTGACCGCGTCCAGGATATCGTGGCGCCGGCAAGCCACGTCGCAGCAACTTCGGCGACAGGACCCTCGGTCAGCGAGATGACAGCTGAGATCTCCGAGTTTAAGCCCGCGATGAACAACCTAACGCTGCAGCTACTTCCACACACAAATTTCAAGAACTAATTTAGGCCAACATTCACCCATAAATAGAGTCCTTAACCAATATAATAGTATCCAAACTCGTAATCCAGACATTGACATCTTTCGCCAATCGTTTAATTAATTTAAAACTAAAATAACAAATGTTTTGTGTCCATCAACCTTAACCCCAAACAAATGTGAATTAGATATAAAATAGATTTAGAGTAGTATTAATTCAAACAGTTTATTATTATTATTAACTATACTCTTCTTTAGTTTTTTTTTTCTCGTTTGATTGTAATTAGTTTACTACTTTTTATACTACTACATTACAGTAAATGCTATGTACACCGTAATTGTCATACATATCAGGTATAATGCCACATATTGTCAAAACTAGTTACAAGTATAATATGTATGATGTGGTAGTACTTATTAATAAATAAATAAATAAACACACGAGTTATGACACTCGGGAAGTCCCATTCGGAAGAATTTTCAAAATCGGTTCACCTAGTCAAAAGTTCTGAGGTAACAAATATAAAACAAAGAAAAAAAAATACAGTCGAATTGAGAACCTCCTCCTTTTTTTGAAGTCTGTTAAAAATTGGAGGAGTTGGAAATACAGTAAATCCACTTCCCTCCTTAGCAAAGCGGGAGACAAAATGAAGTAAAATGGGCATACACCCTTTTAAACAGGGAAGCACCACGGCCACTAAATATTACGGATCCTACGTGAGCTATATTTGATTTCTATAATATGTATGGCAGAATCGCCTAAACGCACGGAAATTCACCCTAGTTGACACAAGATCCCCATAGTATACCGCCCCAGATGTCACCTGCAAGCTATTCAGCATTATATTACGTTCATTATACCAAAGACTACATTACCAGAGGATATGATGAGCAGACTGTTCATAGTGAGAGTTAGGTGTTGAGCATTAACACAATGGTGACTCGACTAATTTAAATGAATAAAGCTTGCTCTTAAAGTTACCATGACCCGTAAGAAATTGAGCGGCACAGTGATCCACCTCAAGCCATGTCCTCGACAACCGTTCGCGAACAGATGGAAAGAATTGGTAAAGATGGCGCCCCTTGAATGATTCATCCCAGCGTTTTTGCCATTCATCTATGAGGTCATTATAGACATCGGACTGCTGTTGAAGCAATCTTGTAATTTTACCGCGATCCCGCGCGCCCAAAAAATCGCATTCCATGTTTTGTTGTCTTGAATAGTACATGGCTGCACGTCTCTGCACCTCGAGATCGACCGGAAGCACACCCGCCAACACCGGCAAAGCCTCAGTGCTAACCGTCCTATATGCCTTGCACAAGAATATCAGTGCAAGTCGTTGGCCTTGTAACAGTTTGCGACGGACAGCGCCTACAGTCGCCCTATCGGCCCATACAGGTACACCATAGCACATAGAACCTAAATAAGTAGCTCCGTATATGATCTTTAATGTATTAAATGATAGACCCCATGTCGCAGTTGATATCCTTGTCAATGCACAGAAACTCTTTTTAGACTTTTCATTAACTATTTTAATATGTTCGATAAATGAAAAGTTTCTTTCTAAAACTAATCCTAGGTAACACACTGAGGCTCTATTTTTCACAGTAACATTGTCAAATCAACGAACGTCGATTCAAATGAACGAATCAAATGCTTGGCGGTGATTTGAGGTTACCTTTTAAAAGTAGCTGGAAGGTTTTGTTGGGTGCAAAAGTTAAGCGATTACGTTCACCCCATTGAGATATCAAGTTCAAACATCTATTGGCTAATCTCTTAAGCCCCGCCCTAGTGTCAGATTCCACCAGTAATAAGCCGTCATCAGCATACGCGTTCAGAGTACATCGGGATGGTATTGGTATCGCAAGAAAATCGTCGAAGCCGATATTCCACAAGTATGGACCTAGCACCGATCCCTGAGGACATCACATTGTAAGCGCCTTCGATACAGAATGATGACCAAGTCTTAGTTTAGTAGTACCATGTAAAAAGTACGAAGATATAAGGGAATAAATATTTTTAAAGCACCCCCGTGATTTTAATTTCAGCAACAGCATGGGCCACCATGCGTTGTCGAAGGCGCCAGATATATCTAAGAAAATAGCCAGCACGTATTGAAATTTTGACTCTGTGACAAACTTTCTAACCGATATAACAGCGTCAGTTGTTGATTTACCCAACGATTCACTCTATATCATATACAATATCATTAAAACACTAATGACTGCTATATTCAGACTGAAAGCTATGCACGAGCATAAGAATTCGCACAATGTGATTGGTCGGTAGGATTTAGGATCATCCGATGGCTTGTCGCCACAAAAGACCTTCTAAATGGGAAGGTCTGGATTTAGGGAATATAATGGATGCTGGCATCTACACTTCTGAACAAATAGAGAGAGTACGCCATCAAATCATGTACTCTCAAGAACGAAGAGCTATAAGCGAGAAAATCACTGGAGCCCTAAACGGAGATAGCGTTTCTCACAACAGGCTAAACTATGGAATATTTATTGACAAAGAAGAACTTAAGAGTCAATTCACTCAATGGTGGATGGAAACTTGGGGCATTTTCAAAAGTCTAGGGGAATTTGGTTCCATCATGTTTTCACTCTATATCATATACAATATCATTAAAACGCTAATGACTGCTATATTCAGACTGAAAGCTATGCACGAGATATTTGGCTGCTCTTTCATTTTGATAACATCTGTAGTTGATGGTTTGTCTGATTATATTTTGCATAAGAATTCGCACAATGTGATTGGTCGGTAGGATTTAGGATCATCCGGTGGCTTGTCGCCACTTTTTGGTATCTGTTTTTATCTGGCTGTGGTCACTAGAATCATGAACGCCCAAAATATCGGTTATGACTGTGTATCTGACCAGTCCAACTACACGACTATATCTCTTGTTGACATCGGTGATTGCCATTTCGATGAGGATGATAGTTTAGAAAACGACACTCATATACAGCTTCTTCAGTCTAAGGAATCGATGTATATATCAACATTTTCATGTCTTATCAATCTCCATTATACTGTGATGAACTGTGGGGCGTACGGTCACAATTCTCTAGTTAAAGGGGAGTTGTCGTTGAAACTTACCGGGTGGGCCAAGAAGAATGTAACGCAATGCACAAGTTAAGGCGAGCAAGGGTTTGTGGACAGGAGTTCCAGATAAACGATTTCAATGTGACAAACACCAGATGGATAAATCTCGCTGGAGGTATCGATCATGACGGGACCTGCACTGGAGGTTCCTTCAACAATAGATTCGGAAACTACGCTAATGTGGTTGCCTATGGACAAGTCTCGATGCTCTTTTCTACCGGAACGGCACTAAGATTGATGCAAAAAGATAACATCCGGCTTGCCAGCGGGATAACATGCTCCCTGGATTCGTTAGATTGCATCGATCCCACCTATGGATACATTTTTTGGAACCAAATGGACATTTATCCATGTTCCGACGATTCATATCATGTCGCATTTCAAGACCCTGCCACGAAAGTTATGACCGCCTTAGGTAAGACGCGTGATGGCGAGGTCAAATACAGCACCATGTTCAGCGTGAAGGAACCCGAACAAATGTTCACTCTCACAACTACAGGTGAAAAGGAAGTGTGCAGATATCATATGTATCAAACCGAACATCCCCAGTATTTGATAGTTGAGGTCAAAGAAAACGTCTACCCGTTCCGCAAATTGGACATCCCTACCAATGAATTAGATCTATTTATGTATGTTAACGCGAAAATCATTCATGTGACTAGAGGAATTGATCGTAGCCTGAGAAGCATATATAGAGCGCTTTCGACTGACATTTGTGAGTTAGAGAGGCAGTAATTAAAAACTCTAATGACTCTTGGATATACATCTCCAATTTCATTCGCTTACCAATACATGAATTCACCAGGCTTCACTGCGGTTGCGGCCGGTGAAGTGATTCACATAATCAAATGCATACCAGTTCCCGTCAGCCCAAGGAGAGACGATGATTACACCGTTGAACATCCGGTTTCGTACGCTAACCAGAACTACTATTTATCCCCTCGCTCCCACATACTACAGAAAACAGCGACTCCGACTCCCTGCTCAGATATACTCACTCCTGAATATAAAATAGCAGGGAAATGGTATAGCTTTAGAAAAGGCATGATCCCGACCAGAGAGCCAATTATCGTTACTCCCAAAAGACCTTCTAAATGGGAAGGTCTGGATTTAGGGAATATAATGGATGCTGGCATCTACACTTCTGAACAAATAGAGAGAGTACGCCATCAAATCATGTACTCTCAAGAACGAAGAGCTATAAGCGAGAAAATCACTGGAGCCCTAAACGGAGATAGCGTTTCTCACAACAGGCTAAACTATGGAATATTTATTGACAAAGAAGAACTTAAGAGTCAATTCACTCAATGGTGGATGGAAACTTGGGGCATTTTCAAAAGTCTAGGGGAATTTGGTTCCATCATGTTTTCACTTTATATCGTATACATTGCTTGCACTGACTATTCACTTTATGACCGGAAATCTTACGATTCATCTTGAGATTGTTATCACATGTGTATCTCTCACAAGGCGTCCGCAACAATTAACACGTGCGATCGCTGTCCGCGTTGCGATCGAAATGAGCGATTACAAAAATTCGCCCGCCGCCCGCACCTGTCTCAGTCCCCTTTGTCGTCATGCCCCCGCGGCCCTGTAACCGCGCAGGCGAGGACTCAGATAAACGGTCGGTCTATAGAGAAGATTTTGAGTCAGAAATTATTGCCTGTGATTTTATATTCCGATGGCTGTTGTGCTCAAAATCGCAATGTTACCTTAAGCAATCCTTTATTACGTTTAGCGTTTGAAAACAATATTGTGATTACTCAAAAGTACCTGGAAAAAGGTCATACCCAAATGGAATGTGATTCCGTACACAGTGCAATAGAGTGTAAATTAAAAGTTAAAGAAAGTTACCTTTCACAACAATACATGGCTATAACTAAAACAGCTAGAAGTGATACTATGCCTTATGAAGCTCGTTATTTGGACTATACCCTTTTTATCGACTTTTCGAAAGAATTAATTCATAAATCTATACGGCCTGGTAAAAAGACAGCTGACCCAGTCGTCACAGATGTACGTTTGCTAGAATACAGACCTAATGGCACAATTTGGTATAAAATTGGTTTTGATGACGAGCTTCAGCCGTTACCATATCGTCCCACGCCAATTAACAGAATTAAACAAATGAATCACCTGCCGAAATTGTATGCAGCTAGAATACTAATTACAAAGCGGAAGTATGAAGATTTGCAAGACCTAAAACGTGTATTACCATCTAGTTGCCAGTATTTTTATGATGATCTACCGCACAGTAATCGCTAAAGACTGCAACTAACTATTAGACTAGAGATTTCGAGTATTATTTTTTATTTTTATAATTTTATTACTATCATATCTTGTTTCATTGGAGTTTATTAAAGACTATGTTTAAAATATTTACATATTGAAAAAAAAAAAAAATTGCACTTACTCTCTAAAGGTTCGTGTGTCACCAAATAACTTTAAGCAATTGATCTCAACAATGTGATTCTTAAGACTTAAGTTATAGATACCTATGTTATAACGATTGTTAATTACTCTTGAAATATTTCTTAATAAAAACATTTCTTTGTAAATCATCTATTTATACCTTATTCCCTAACATTTCCGCAAACAACACCGCCTAAATCTAATAAAATACCAGTCAATACAGCTCAAGTCATAAAATAAAAGTTAAAATAAAGTAAATCATCAAAATAAGTATAAATAATTATTTCATAGGCGCTACCTAGAGTATTTATTAAGGAACAACAGAAAAATTCCACCGATTTTTTAAAAAGGACCGTTTTTTAGTCTCCTGTAAAGTTGGTAAAAATGACTTATGCGGTGTTGTAAGCTAAGGTACGAATGTCGAATGTAGCAATTATTTATTCCAAAAGCAAACTTACAGTTTGCATAAATATACTAACCTGGTGAAACCATATATGATTGTGTGCTGTAACGGTCATATTTTAGATTGCTTGGGGCCATATGAAGCAACCACCAATGATGCTACAATTATCAGCACAGAATTTACCAGGTCTGATGGGCCTATGCGACAATATTTTCCAGAAGGAGACGTCTTTATTCTTGACAGAGGCTACAGAGATGTGGTGGCTCAATTATAAGAGTATGGTTATCAAACTCATCTACCTGAATCCTTATTACAAGGCCACCGTCAGCTTACCACGGAGCAAGCTAACAAATCACGTTGTGTCACAATGTGTAGATGGGTGGTTGAGGTAGTAAACGGCAGATTGAAACAGGATTTCAAATTTTTTAGACAGGATTTTTTTAATAGAGCTGCAAAACATCTTATGGAGGATTTCAGAATAGGTTGTGCTCTGGTTAACAAGTTTCGCCCTGCCCTTGAGGACTAACCTGTGTACAGAGAATATTTGCGGTTAGCCCAGCACAGACTAAATGTTCCTAATCATTTAGCTGATGTAGTTGAAGCTGGCCACTTAAGTAGGAGATGCACAGGATTTTTGAATATAGATGGTAACCATCCTCACTTGAGTAGATTTCCAAGGCTAACAATTGATGATTTAAAAAAATTAGCTCTGGGTTCCTACCAACTCAAGCAGGCACGGTCATATTACGGTGAACACATCCGACAAAATAGCACATATACTGTGCAAATAAATAACGCCATAGAAGATGACATACCTCTTGTCCTGGGTGTAAACAATTATGTAATTCGGGGGAAAATGTAATCGAGACACGTAAGCAGTCGCTCATATTATACTTAACTGCTGATAAATAGAAATGAGGACACTGTAAATACACTGAAAGCTATCTTTGGCTACTGTTGTAGCTGTTTGGTGGGCAGTCGCACAGTGGGCTGTTGTGTCCATGTGATGACTGTTACCTGGTATTTGAGCTGGGGGCGGGATAATGATATTGCTGCACCAGCACCATTCTTAGATGATATTTTTGAAGAATACACCTATGAAAATATCGAATAGTAGGGAGGCATCGACTATTCAAAGGGCAGCCTCTTTGAATAGTTGATCTTTCCACACAGGATCAGGGGGTTTGGGCTCCGGTTACCTCACTCACTTGGTAAAGAGCAACGACAAAATTGCTTAACACAAATTTTCTGTGAGGCGGTGGTATCACTCCGATCGTGCCAGCCATGTCCGTTCTTTTTTTTGTGTTCCTTATTCTTTCTCTAAATAAAGCTTCTGTTTTGATCAACTTGAGTAGTTATTTAATTGTGCCTAATTATATGCAACTGTAGTCTGTAGGTTTCCTCTCTACAGTTAACAAAGCAAAATATTAGGTAGGTATTTATTCACTCCTAATGGAGTAGATACTTGTCTTGTTACTTTTAGTAACTTAGTATTTAAATTGTATTGTGCACATCTTTTGTATTCTAATTAGATCTTAATCTTCCTATTAATTGCATGCAAATAATAAATTTCATATTTTAACTTACAACGGGGGACTATGTAAATCCCCCCTCTATTTCTCTGAAACCCGGCAAATTACGCATATGTTATTTATTTTCTCTGAAAACTACATACTCATACGAATCTTAGACAATAGTTTTCATCTTGTCACAGTAATATTAAACCCATACTATTTTCCTTAGTTGTTTGGTCATTCCCCTTTCAAAATAATAATGAAGTTAAAATTATATGTATAGAATACGACGAAGGATATGTCAAATCTTTAATGGAAGGAAACATTAGTGATATTTTGGAAAGCCCATATCTATCATATTTAAAATGTCAGAGCTGTAAGTCAATAATAAAACCAGCATTATTATTTAATTTTTTTTATTTACCATTATCAAGTAATTAAACCTATATACACTTATTTATTTATTTATTAATGAACTTTGCAAATTTATAAGGCCACAAGCTATAGTGATGACATCATCTAGTTTCCCTAAAAGATTGTGATTTACACAAGCATGAGTTTTCAACATGTAAATTCTCTCAGACGTCTTATCACCCTTTCTATATGAATCCGTAAACTAGCAATTTTCTTGGTTTATCTGACTTCCTCTTTTGATAGCTAGGTGGTCGTATTAGCTGACACCCAACCCCAAGTAGCAAAGGTTCAATATGCTTAAAGCCTATATCAGCCATTACATGTGAACCACTAGGTAAACAGTTCAAAAAGTCACAATTCTCAACTAGATATACATCACTTATTCTACCTCCAAACCCTTGAGATACACAGGGTGTCCCAGAAAGAATGGATAATCCTGGAGCGCTTAATAGTACAGCTATCTGGCGTACAAAAAAAAAATACCCAAAAACAAACAATTGGTGCCCAAATTATGAAGTTTTTAAGTTTGTTGTGTTAAGAAATGCGACAAACAAAAAAGATATTAATTATCTATGGTAACATTGTTGTTAATCTGTGGTAGTAAAAAATCTAGGATGAAAAAGTGTGAAGAAAAATGGATGATGTAAAAATGTTATTGTGAAATAAAAATAAAGTATTAGTAATTGAAAGCGTGTTTTGTAATGCAAAAATCAAGATGCTTCCAGCAAATTTAAGATGGTAGCAGAGCGTGGTTGTCTCATTTGTAAGTTTGATAAAGTTTGAATACACGATGTCCATCGAAAGCTTTGTACCTGTGCCAAAGCTAATTCGGGCTCGGTTGGTTTATGATGAATGGTGGTTGCAGTTTATGTATTTGATGAAGTATAAGAATTGCTCTGATGTAATCGAGCATGCAGACCGGCCAGAAACTGTCAAGGAAGAAGACTGGAAGCAGAAAAGTAATAAGGCTATGTACTTTCTATCATTAGCCGGATAAAATGGTAAATTGCGAGACACCAATGCAAGTAATTGACAAATTGGATAAATTGTACTTGTGTAAATCTGAGTCTAAACAGCTATTAATTGAAAAACAGTTAAGCGGTCTGAAATATGCAGATGGGATCCTGAACAGTTCTTTGAAAAATTTGAAAGAAAAGTTATTGAATTGCATCATGCTGGTGGTGATACCAGTAGAAGAAGAAAATTAAGTTATTTAATGATGTGTTTACCTGATAGTTGTCGTCATATTATTGAAACTATTGATATATTACCAGAAAAAGAGAGAACTGTTGATTATGTCCGTCAGAAATTGATAGAAAGAAAGCAGCTTGGTGCTGTCACAGAATCAGTTCAAACATCTCCAGCAGGAACCAATAATACACTGTAACGGTGCATTTCGCACCATTACAGTAATTTGAACCTTAGTCTCGTTTTTGTTATGTTAGGTTGAATTTTTTGTCGTTTCTGCGAGTGCCGATGGTCGAGGGACGGACGAGAGTAATAATCGATGTTGTTCGCCCGCGATTAGTTTAGTCGATTTAGTTTTTCTTGTTCTGGCAACATTTTTGTTTCCCCGCTCTATAGAGCGAGAGTCTATTGCACTGGTATCACTTTGACTTTCACTTTTGGATCGGCCGCCGAGAGAAATGACGCAAAACCGTTTTGTCATTAATTTTTTAGAAATCCGTATTTATTTGATATGGACGAGGGCCTATTTCCTCTTTAAATGTTTGGCCAACCTAGTTAAGACTCGAGCTAGTGGATCGAGTGATTATTTTTGATAAAAAAGGCAATGCTTATAATGCTTATAATGCCGCTGCTTGATTTGTGAAGCATTTTAGAACCCTGATGAATCAGGGTTCTTTTCTTTTTTAGTTTACATCTAAAGATTTTACAATACCTAAATTATTTTACTTTCTTATTGGAATGTCCTTGCGTGGCATTCGATTTTTGTCTCTCGCCGGAGTTTAACCCCAAGAAATTAGTTTGCTGTGGAGCTCAGAATGGTAGAAAAAGCTGCTTAGCTGCACGCCATCGTCTGGAGCAGGGGAGTACTAACCCGCCTCTTACACCACGTGGGAACCGGAGTGAGAAGTTTCGGAGTTTGGTTTGATTTCATTTCGTTCGGACTGATCCAAGGTCATCGGTATGTGTTTTTGACATATTTTTCTTGGCGACGTGGCATTGAATACTGCAGGTCCCTAAGGGGTGTTATTTTTATTAGAGAGTAGGTCAATGCTATGTCTACCCTTAGAGTTTATTGTTTTGTCTATTAAGTCTTTATGTGACTTTGTTTAAAACCTATACAGGTCCCCATAGGGGTTAATTTTAATTAAGGGAGTAGGGCGTTGCTACAACTACCCTTATACTCTTTTCTTTTTGGGTCTTCATGTGACTCTTTAAAATTTATTTAACCTTATAATTTTCTTATTGGAAAGGATTGCATTAATGACAGTACTACTTTGTGTATAAGAATTACCTATTGTAATTAGAGACATAAGACACATTGTACTCTACAGACACTACGGGATAATAAACTGCCAATAGAACTTAACATCTTGTATTCATTAGCTGTCCTCCCGCTTTGTTTTAAAAAGGTTCAAAGCTGGCTGAGATGTCCGAGGTATTTGTTGTGTTTGTGGTGGGTTCTGTGTTCTTTTAAGGTGGTATCTGGCGCCCGAGACTTTTATTTTGTTATTTTGTTTCTATTTGATGCCACCAATTAAGTTTTATTTTCTTTAAAACACACCCCACAACATAATTAAAATTTTTTAATTTTTTATTATTACAATTGTCGCCAGCGCTCAGGGACTGAAGTAGTGTCTGTAGGTTAATTAGATAACTGATTAGATACTGTCTTTACTGCATCCTATATTTTTCTTACATACCTTGTGTATTTTATAATTGTATTATCATTAAGTGAGGTTATTTTTACAATTTTTCAATATTAGTTTACAACATTGTGACTTTCCTTTACAATGTTATTTTTGCTTTAACAAACAACAATAATTTAAGTTATACTGCTGCCTATTGTATTCTCAATTAAGGGTATAGTTACTGAAACATTTTGTGTTACAATTTAATAGCTTTGAATGTTAATTGTAAGTCTGCTCAAGAAACATTTTATAGATACCTCCGCTTTGGAATTATTATAATATAACTTATTGTAAATTAAGATTAACTTAACTTAGCTTAGCCTTGCTGTTATTATTTAGTTACTAGAACAATTGTTAGTGGTTACTGCAATCCTTAAATCCTTTTTAATACAGAACTTAGATATTTAAATTAAAACTTAGCTTTTTCACTTCACTTTCAAATCAACTTAGACTTTTCTTTACAATATTCAACTTTTAAATAATTTGAACCTGGTTGTTTACAACATTTAACTCTTAAATAAATTTAAACTTATCCTTTCATAAGGTTTAACTTTTAAATGATTTAAACCTAGGTTTTCACAACAGCGACTTTTGAATAAATTTAAACTTAATTAACTTTAAAGAACTTAACCTTTGAACGGCTGTTTTGGAATTGTGTGGTTGGTGTCGGTTTGTATTATGGACAAGGAGGCTCCACCTTCAACGTCGCCTGCCAATGTGGATGTTGGCACAGCTGCTTATGAGTCAGCGGAGATGAGCGTCCCATTAGACTTGTCATATGTTCGTGATACTCCTGCTCTTGCACCAAGTCTGCCTTCGTTCAACAGCATGAATGAACACGTTAGGAGGAATATGCCTGCCTATACTACGAAGCTGCCTGATTTAACTAGGAGCAAGATAATCTTTGACGGTAAGACCTGTGTTAGAGAATTTATCACTCGTGTTGAGGATTACTTTGTATTCAGGAACTTTCATGAGGCCGTGTTGATTGGTTCATTCGCTGATCTGCTTGCTGGTACTGCTGCCAAGTGGTTTAGGACTATTCGTAGGAAGATCTCTTCGTGGGTTGAGCTTAGGGCTGCCTTGCTTAGACGTTTTGATAGGCCGGACTATGATAGCTGTTAGGAGCATGAACTGCGCATTCGCAAACAAAAGCCTAGTGAGTCCCTTCTAGATATAAAAATTTCAGGGTTGATGACCACACATTGTATATATTTTGTAAGAATAAATTAAATCTGGATAGTAGATTAAATTGGAAAATTGTTATTCCTAGGAACATATTCTTGATACTATTAAGTCTAACCATGATGATATTAATTCTGGTCATCTTGGGATTCATAAAACCACTAAGAAATTAAAACAACATTATGTTTGGAACGGTATGTTTAATGATGTTCAAAATTACATTAGATCTTGTGACATTTGTAAAGCCTATAAGCACAGCACCTCACATAAATATATTCTTTCAGTTGTAGATGTTTTCACAAAATTTTGCTGGGTTTTTCTATTAGTAAAAGCTACCACCGGGTCCATTTGTAGAATCCTTGAAAAAGAGATATTTCTTAAATTTGGTTGTTCTAGATTAATAGTTTGCGATAATGGTACTCAATTCATTTCTAAACATTTTGTAGATTTCATGAGAGGTTGCAGCATTGCTAAATTTTTTATAACACATTGTACACACCTCAGAGTAACCCTGTGGAGAGGTACAGTAGGACGGTAGGGACTTGTATTTCATGTTTTGTTAAAGATTGGATTTTGTTAGTTGTTCTTGCTTTAAATTTTGACCTCACATTTAGTTAGCTTTTGATAGTAGTGTAAGTTGGGCTACTGATTTTACTTCTAATTTTCTCATGTTTAGTAGAGAGTTAATTTGTTGATGCTCATCTACACCGTTTTGGTAATTTTTCTTTGTTAGTTTAGACCAACTTGAGTTTGTTAAGGGGATCTTTGTGCCCTTTCTTTTGGATCACTTAGTGATATTTTTTTGTTAGAGTTGAGTCATATTTGTTAAAAGCGCATTGCTTTATATTAAATTTATTAATATTATTTGTTGCTATTATATATTAAAATTATTAATATTATTTGTTACTATTTCTATTTCTTTTGATGTTGGTGATATTGTTTGGATAAGAAGTTTTATTCAGTTCTGGCGTTCCAGCATATTTTTCGGCAAAGCTTGCACCTAAGTTTATTAAATGTAAAAGTATAGAGAAGATTTCAGATAACGTTTACCTTTTGCAGGACCTTTCAAAGAACACCTCTGGTCGCTATCATATTAAAGATATTATTAAATATTAAGATTTCACTATTCGGTCATTAACTTTAGGTCTTAATTTGATATATTGTTGAGATTTAGCTTTTGTATGAGGAAGTATGTAACTGGATGTATGCTAGGCTATAGCTATTTGTATGTTGATGTAGTGTGAGGTATTCTTACCGATATATTAATTTTAGGGTTTAAGAGTTCAAAAGTCTACTTAGGTCATTTTGGTTTATTAAGTTAGGAACTTCTTTTATAATAGGAACCACATCAAAAGAATATTTTGTTTGTATTTTATTTGCACTTCTACCTAGTGTAGAGTGTTTTGTTGGAGTTAGGTTCGCCCTCTTTTCAAGGGTTGAACAGGTTGTTTGTGGGATTCACACTTTTTTTCAGGTGTTGAATGGTTGTTTCTTGTCGGTTTCACACTTTTTTCAGGTGTTGAATGTTTTGTTTCTTGTTGGATTCACACTTTTTTTCAGGTGTTGAATGATTTGTTTTTTTGTCGGTTTCACACTTTTTTTCAGGTGATGATTGGTTTGTTGGTGGGATTCACGTTTTTTAAGCGTTGAATATTTTTGTTTGGTTTCTGTTGTATTGTGCCCGGTAGTTCGGTGGTGTTGTGCCGATCACAATACACAGGTTTTTTATATATTCACACCGTCTTGTTGTGTTGAATATTTTTGTTTGGTTTCTGTTGCATTGTGCCCGGTAGTTCGGTGGGGTTGAGCCGATCACAATGCACAGGTTTTTTATATATTCACACCGTTTTGTTGTGCTGAATATTTTTGTTTGGTTTCTGTTGTATTGTGCCCGGTAGTTCGGTGGAGTTGAGCCGATCACAATACACAGGTTTTTTATATATTCTCACCGCCTTGTTGTGATGAATATTTTGGTTTGGTTTCTGTTGCATTGTGCCCGGTAGTTCGGTGGAGTTGAGCCGATCACAATGCACAGGTTTTTATATATTCTCCCCGCCTTGTTGGGATGAATATTTTGTTTGGTTCGACATGTTAGACATGTGTTTGAATGTTAGGGTGAAGCGTTTTGTAACTCCATTAGAGTCGGTGACGAAGGTGTCCAACCGCACTTCTTGGAAATTGATATCTTTGAGATATGCATTTCCTGATGGATGTTGTTTTGTTTTGTGTAGTTTACAGCTCCATTAGAGTCGGTGACGAAGGTGTCCAGCCGCACTTCTTGGATATTGATATCTTTTAAGATACAATTCCTAATGGATGTTGTTTGTGAAGTTTACTTTGATGTTGTTTGTGAAGTTTACTTTGATGTTGTTTGTGGAGTTTACTTTGTTGTTGTTAGTGTATTTTGTTGTAGTTTACAGCTCCATTAGAGTCGGTGACGAGGGTGTCCAACCGCACTTCGTGGAAGCTGGTATCTTTTTAGATGTACAGTTCCCAATGGAAGCAGTTTGTGTAGTATATTTTGTTGTGTTTGTAGCTCCATTAGAGTCGGTGACGAGGGTGTCCAACCGCACTTTTTGGACTTTCCAGTCTTAATGGTAGCTTGGTGTTGGGATTTGTTTTTGGGTTTGTGTGATTTTGTTGTAGAGTTTATTTTGATCTTATATTTAGTTTCCAAGTCCTTTTTGGCGTATGGATTTTTGTATTCCTGGAGTTTGTAGAGTTTTAGTAGAGTTTCTGGTAGAGTCAGTTTTGGAGATTAGACATTTTGCAGTCTTTTTGTTTGATATATTTTGTTGAGTAGTGACTTTTCAGCATAAAAGAAAGAGTCCTTTCTTTTATTTTTTTTCGGGAAGGTATGTAATGTAACGGTGCATTTCGCACCATTACAGTAATTTGAACCTTAGTCTCGTTTTTGTTATGTTAGGTTGAATTTTTTGTCGTTTCTGCGAGTGCCGATGGTCGAGGGACGGACGAGAGTAATAATCGATGTTGTTCGCCCGCGATTAGTTTAGTCGATTTAGTTTTTCTTGTTCTGGCAACATTTTTGTTTCCCCGCTCTATAGAGCGAGAGTCTATTGCACTGGTATCACTTTGACTTTCACTTTTGGATCGGCCGCCGAGAGAAATGACGCAAAACCGTTTTGTCATTTAATTTTTTAGAAATCCGTATTTATTTGATATGGACGAGGGCCTATTTCCTCTTTAAATGTTTGGCCAACCTAGTTAAGACTCGAGCTAGTGGATCGAGTGATTATTTTTGATAAAAAAGGCAATGCTTATAATGCTTATAATGCCGCTGCTTGATTTGTGAAGCATTTTAGAACCCTGATGAATCAGGGTTCTTTTCTTTTTTAGTTTACATCTAAAGATTTTACAATACCTAAATTATTTTACTTTCTTATTGGAATGTCCTTGCGTGGCATTCGATTTTTGTCTCTCGCCGGAGTTTAACCCCAAGAAATTAGTTTGCTGTGGAGCTCAGAATGGTAGAAAAAGCTGCTTAGCTGCACGCCATCGTCTGGAGCAGGGGAGTACTAACCCGCCTCTTACACCACGTGGGAACCGGAGTGAGAAGTTTCGGAGTTTGGTTTGATTTCATTTCGTTCGGACTGATCCAAGGTCATCGGTATGTGTTTTTGACATATTTTTCTTGGCGACGTGGCATTGAATACTGCAGGTCCCTAAGGGGTGTTATTTTTATTAGAGAGTAGGTCAATGCTATGTCTACCCTTAGAGTTTATTGTTTTGTCTATTAAGTCTTTATGCGACTTTGTTTAAAACCTATACAGGTCCCCATAGGGGTTAATTTTAATTAAGGGAGTAGGGCGTTGCTACAACTACCCTTATACTCTTTTCTTTTTGGGTCTTCATGTGACTCTTTAAAATTTATTTAACCTTATAATTTTCTTATTGGAAAGGATTGCATTAATGACAGTACTAATTTGTGTATAAGAATTACCTATTGTAATTAGAGACATAAGACACATTGTACTCTACAGACACTACGGGATAATAAACTGCCAATAGAACTTAACATCTTGTATTCATTAGCTGTCCTCCCGCTTTGTTTTAAAAAGGTTCAAAGCTGGCTGAGATGTCCGAGGTATTTGTTGTGTTTGTGGTGGGTTCTGTGTTCTTTTAAGGTGGTATCTGGCGCCCGAGACTTTTATTTTGTTATTTTGTTTCTATTTGATGCCACCAATTTAGTTTATTCTTTTTATAACAAACCCCACAATAAAATTTTATTTTTTTAATTTTTTATTATTACAACACAAGCATTTAAAGCACAAGTTGGTGTTAGAAATCTTAAGAAACCAGAGAAGGAATTTTTGTGTTATCAATGTAATAAACCAGGACATTTGCAAAGAGATTGTCATTCTAATTTCAGGGGTAATCAATATAAAAATTATTCTTGAAGTACTGGTGGTAACTTTAGAGGAAACTGGCAAGGAACATTCCGTGGAAATGGCAACAGAGGTTATCGTGGATCAAATCATAGTAGAGGTAATTATTACAGAAATAATAGAAATTTTGCTGCTAATACTGAAGTTTGTAATAATACTCAGAATCTTTGATCATCATGAGAATCTTGATTCATTTCATATTTGCATTAGTAGAGGTAATTATTACAGAAATAATAGAAATTTTGCTGCTAATACTGAAGTTTGTAATAATACTCAGAATCTTTGATCATCATGAGAATCTTGATTCATTTCATATTTGCATTAATAATTGAGAAATGTATTTAATGGCTCTTAGATAGTGGATGTACTGACCATGTAGTAACATTAGATGAATATTTTTATGAGTGTGTTGATCTATCAACACCTGCTAAAGTAAAACTGGGTGATAATACAGTAATTGTAGCAACAAAAGTTGGTAATATTATGTGTAAATTCTATTCTGATACTGGTGAACGAACAATTAGGGTTGAAAATGTATTCTATGTGCCTGAATTAAGAAAAAACCTTTTAAGTGTATCTGCCATAACAAAAAGAAATAAGTGTTGTTTTTTTCAAAAGGTTATTGTGAAATATTCCATGGCAATGATTTAATAATATTAATTAAAGAAAAAAACAAATTGTATTCTGTGAATCCGTCTTGCTCGGGATAAACGGTAATTAAAAATTCTTCTTGTTTCATTGAGCTGTGACTTACTTGCTCGGGATAAACGGTAATTAAAAATTATTCTTGTTTCATTGTGCTGTGACTTATTAAATAGTTTAAAAAAATCATCCATTAGAGCAAAAGCTTCGTCTCCAACAAATACATAAGGAAGCGGTATTCCATTCACTGAACCTAGTTGTGTACCGTTAAAAATCTTTATTTTTTATTGCCCCACCGTCTGACACGGCCGTTTGTACCGAAATGAAAATAAATCAACTCATAGTTAGCATTAGCAATTGCCATAAGAACCTGACTGTGGAAGTGTTTATAATTAAAGAATTATGAACCAGAACCAGGCGGCGGCTTTATTTTAATATGCTTGCCATCAACAACGCTAAGACAATTCGGAAAATTCCAGCGCTTTTCAAAGTCAGCTCCAATTGCCTTCCATTCATTTTCATTCGAAGGTAACTGAAACAAAACAAATTTCTTTTATTACAGAATATTCGTGTGGAAGAATGCCAAGGAAAATTCTTCTGAGGTACTGTCGCCAAGTCAAACTCAAGATGAAATTGACGATTACTTGCCACCTCCACTCACACCTAATGCATTTAAACGGAAGAAATCCTTGCAGGGGTCAAATTCAACAATAGATTTAACTCTTCAAAATATAAACAACAAAATTATGTCTATTAAACCTGATGATCCATGTGACATATTCGGAAAAACTGTAGCTTCTAAATTAAAATCATTGCCTAAAGATCAACGGATCTGGGCAGAAAAAAATATAACGAAACCTTGTCAGAAGCAGAACTTGGAAACCTAAGTAGACAGTCCGTGACTAGAATTAACAAGATTTTCAATAACGCTTCCCCAAATTGGCTACCTCAAACTTCTCCACACTCTGAACCTCACATTTCTCCATACTCTCAACCACACAGTTCTCCATACTCGCAACCGCAGACATCTCCATATTCCCAGCCACAGACGTCTCCACACTCACAAGCTCAGGCCTCTACATACTCACAGACTTATTTATCTCAGAATATTCCTCCATTTCAACACCAAATACAGACACTACCACAAGAGCAGATTGTACAATTAAACATACCTGATAATCAGTCCTCCCAACCTCAAACTCAACCTTTAGCCTAACCTAGACAGATGCCATCGCGAGAACAGTTATCAAGTAAAAAAGAACAAATATTAATGACTTTTTACGAGAACTTTCAATCCTAATGTCTTACGTATTTGAAAGAAAATAAATGATTCTAATTATATGAATGATATATGTATCTTTTATTGCAGTACATACCTTACAATAGTCATGACATGCTGAGTAAATGGCGGTGCAGGTTTCTGGAATGATTTTTCCTAATAACTGTGGTGAAATTATCGATGAGTACTTTAAATCTTCATAAGATCGTCCAGTGGCTAGAAAACGCAAAAAGTTGCACTTAGACGCTCGTGATTACTAACAGCTTGTCTCATGTTTGTATTGTTTCAATAATTTTAGGTACGTGGGTTCCGTCATTCTCATATAATTGTGCCAATCTTCTGGATGGAACCTTAATTCCTTTAAAAGATGTACGCGAATACTGATTTCGCTTTAATAGCCATTTCTTAACCGACATTCTTCTAGGCTTTCTTTTGAATCCGAATCAACGCTACCGCCGCATAGGTAAGGAAAAGAAGTTCATTTTCCATTTTATGGGGCACGTATTTAATTATTTGAACACGTCTTTATCCTTCAGCTTCAAACAAGTAAATGGTCGATTGTTACGACCAGTCGTTTCGTGTATGAGCGGACATTTTTGATGCGATCAATCGTCACCATTTTCATCAGATCGATCGTATAGACGAATCGTACCGTATATGGGGCCCTTAAGAGACAGCCGGCAAATTGGAAAGTAAACAAGGCAAAAATTGATAGGTAAGTATAGAGTAGTGATGTGCTCACTCTCAATCTCAGTTTCGATAAAACTGTTGCATTGCAGGTACACATTTCGTCTTTCAACAGTTTTTATTACTTTTACTTATCGCATTGTCTGTAATCAAATCTTACATGTTAAATTTGAGTTTAAATGCAGGGATGGCGTATAGCGGTCGCCCCGCCGCTTCCTACTACGCTGAGTAATGTGGGTTCGATCCCCATATGGGACGACACTGTGTGATCCACAAATGGTTGTTCTGAGTCTGGGTGTTATTTGTCTTCATTTCATGTATGTTTGTAGTCTCCCGCGACACAGGAATATTCCTAGTGCGGGAGTTGTACTATTCATTAAAAAAAATAAACGTTTTTAGGGTGATTTTTAAAGTGATTTTCATGTTTTTTATTATTATTTTTAAAGGTACTCAGCACATTCGTTACCTGGACGGATTACCTGCAATCACGACAGCAAAAGTTTTGAATGTAAAAAATTTAAAATCCAAGATCTACTATATTTTCATCGATCGTTTTATGCAACATCGATTAAAAAAGATCAAGATGCTCTGATACTAAAATGTTGTTCTGTAAAAAAACACAGAGAAAACGACCTATCAAAAATGTAAGAAAAGGTAGAGATTATGCCATAAAGTATGCTATTTATGCAAAAAATAAGAAACAAATACCAGTTTGCCAAAAGGTATTTTTAAATACACTTAGTATTACAAAATATCGTGTTCAGTATGTCATTCGAAATTTCTTCGAAACTGGCCACATTCCATAGGAAAAGAGAGGCGGCGATCATAAAAACAGAAATATGCTGCACAAAAACAGTCTGTGCATTCTTTTATAAAGTCCCTAAAATGCGTTGAAGCTCATTACTGCAGAGGATCAACAGTTCAACGAAAATACTTACCGAGTGAACTTAACATTAGAAAGTTGAACAAAATGTTCAAAGAAAAAAACCCAAGCAGCCCAGTCAAACAATCCTATTTCAGGGCAATTTTTAATCAAGATTTCAATCTCGGGTTTGGGTATCCACGGACCGACGTATGCTCCAAATGCATTGAAATGCTAGAAAGAATAAAAACTGAAAAAAATATAGACGAAAAAAATAAATTAATAATACAGCAGAGTTCACAAACTGAAATCGCAGGCTTTTTTCAAAATGCTCCGAGAAAAAAAACGACCAAATGGCAACATTCTCGTTTGATTGCCAGAAAAACTTGGTATTGCCAAAAGTACCAGATCAAAGCTTTTACTACAGCAGACAGCTATACCTATATAATTTTACAATAGTACAAGGATCTTCCAAACACCCTTTGAATAAAAACACAACGTTCTGCTATGTGTGGACGGAAGATGAATATGCAAATCAGATAACATCCACGGTCTACTCGTATGACCGATTGAATAAAAGTGATTTGACGAACATTTCTCACGTACGTTTAGTAGCGGATGGTTGCCCTGGACAAAATAAAAATCTCGTGATGGTGTCAATATGTTCAAAATGGATTCTCCAGAATCCGTCAATAAAAAGAATGGAGTTAGTATTTCCAGTTAGCGGACATTCCTTCATGCCCGCTGACAGGGTGTTCGAAAATATCGAAAAAAAAAATATAAAAAGAAAAGAAGTTATCACAGATCTCACAGAATGTTGCCCTGATCAAAGAAAATACGACAGTGACGAGACTCAACGAAATTGAGGTTCTCGACTGGAAGACTATTGCTGAAGCTATAGTTAAAGCACCGGCACAACTACATTTTAAAATATCGCAATGCAAACGAGTCATTGTTCCCAGGACAAAAATGCCGGGGTTTTGCGCTGTGTACGGTGTGACGCTTTTCTATGTAACAATTATAATCATTCCAATATTCAATAAAACAGTTGTGCCCTGTGGCGTACGTATATTATTTCACAACTCATAATAGATTATGGGCCCAGTAGCCCAGTAGCCCTACTGTTGGTGAAGATTGGGAGAGATTGTCGGCGTGGTTGTGCGGGGTTATAAAACACAACAAGCTGGAGGGGCAGAAAAACTGGAGCGTCTGGAGATTTCAGATGTCAGTCACACTACGAGGAGCGGATTTATTTTCCATTGTGACCGGTGTGGAATCAGATAATTTTAATGCCAGGGATGCAAAGGCACAAGCGATTACATGGCAGTATGGGCACACTTATTACCAGTTTTTAAGTGGCTTAAAAATCACAATCCAAACATTCACAGAATACACATGCTAAGTGATAGTCCTGTCAACCAGTACAAGAACAAGTTCATGTTTCATCTTGTATATCATCATATAAGTGATTTGTATCCGGGTGCGACATTTTTTGCGTGGAATTATTCAGAACCAGGCCATGGCAAAGGTGCTCCTGGGGGCACATTAAAAAGAACAGCTGATTAAGCGGTGGCTGAAGGCAAGGACATCGTAAATTTGAAAACTCTCAAAGAAATTTTGTTGGCAAGATGTTCTTCAATAAAGCTATTTGAAGTTACCACTGCTAATATCGCGAAGATATTAGCAGTGGTAACAAAACGTTGCATTGAAAACCAAAGTCCTTTGAATTAAAAACACGAAACAAATCTTATGATGATGGACATTCGTCAAATGATATTATTTGTACGGAGAGTAATTTCACTTATAATATTGGTGATTATGTACTTATCAAATGGGACGAAAATGTTTACCCAGGGGAAATAATATCAGTTTCTGAGGAAGGCGCTTTAGTAAAGTGTATGAAAAGAGGAACTACATCTTGGAAATGGCCTAAAATCAGAGATGAACAGTTATATGCCTGGCATGACATTCTGAGGAAAATTGAGCCTCCAAAATTAATCAGAAAGGGTTGTTATTTTATAAAAGACTTCAACTATACTGGTCAGCAAATAAACCGAGCCACCCGCTACTTAGGAACTCTGATTCGATTTTCTCAAAAAGTATAAAACTTACAACTATCAAAGTTATACCTACAAAAAGTGCGCTTCATGGTGATTAAAATGACTAAAAATTAATTCGAAAGTACCTACCGTCAACTCACATTGTAATCAAGCAACAAACACAATGCTAACGATTTGCTCTGTTTTCACCAGAGTTTGAAATTAGCGTTCTTTTTCTCTACAATGAGGATAGTCGGATATTTTTTATCATTTCTTTAGTTTTTGTCCATCGTTTGCTCAGACGCGTGTGTTTTTGCTACTTTTTTCGATTAATAATGGATACAACACCTCAGGAAGCAGCTCAAGCTGTAGCATTACTTCAAGCAGGCATTGCGCAACGTGAAGTCGCTCAAAGGCTTCGAATCAGCAGATCTTCGGTGCAACGAGTTTACAGACGATACCTAGAGACTGGAGCATTCGATCGCCGTCCAGGTACGGGCAGACCTAGGGCTACATCAGCAGCAGATGATCGTTATATCCACCTTACTGTTCTGCGAAATCGCCACCTCAACGCAGTTCAAGTCCAACAAAGTCTGCGTGACGAACGCCAAGTAGTCATAAGTTCAGATACCGTCAGAAGGAGACTTGCTGAACGGAACCTGACCCCAAAAAGAGCTGCAACAGGCCCAGCATTAACGGTAGCACACCGTAGAGCACGACTTGAATTTGCTCGAGAGCATATGGATTGGACATTAGAGCAGTGGAGTAATGTGCTCTTCACTGATGAGACCAGGGTGAGTCTACATGGAAGTGATCGACGTCAGAGAGTACATCGTCGCCCTGGAGAACGTTATTCTCAGTGTTGCATCGAGGAAACTGTTGCTTATGGAGGAGGATCTGTAATGGTCTGGGGCGGCATCTCGTTAACAGCACATACAGCGTTAGTTTTCATCGAACCGACGGGCCGTACACGTGGACTGACTTCTCATCGCTACATTACTGAAATCCTCGCAGACCATGTGGTACCTTACGCAGGATATATCGGACAGGATATGCAATTGATGCATGATAATGCACGGCCTCATGTTGCTCATGTGGTGACCCAGTATCTACGCGACGTCAGCATTCGTACGATGGACTGGCCAGCTCGAAGCCCGGACTTGAATC